TATACTATGAGATTTACAATCAACTTGCAATTTTTGTTTTGTATAAAATATAAAGGAACCGTGATATGTGTGGTCTTTAGTCTTAATTAATCATATCATTATGACTTATGAGAAGTATATATTATATTATAATTAGAATAATTCAGAATCCCATGCCAATAAAGTGGCCGACCTGATTGCTCTAACTATAGATGCGCATAAACAAGTAGAATAAACCCTAGTTATAGATTAACCAAATGAAAAATTCTAATATCAATATTATTGACACTACTACAAAGTACCAATTCATTGATTAGTTTAACTTATCAGTCCGTCTCCGTCATAATAGTTACATAATATTTAATAAAATATATATATAAAAGCGTGACAAATAATATAGTTTTAACTTTTTTTTACGTACTTAGTTGAGCGGGTGTAATTTAATCATATATATTTAAAATTACTCGTTACCTTGTATGACAATTGACATAATTTTATTATCGTAAACACAATGTATTTACCAAAGAAAAAACACATTATTTTGAATGCCATTTCTCATGTATATATATATAAGATCAGATAAAGTTCATGAACTTTTTCTTTTTCATTTTTTGAATAAAACAGAAGTAATATTAGTTCATTTTGTTTATTCTTTTATCATTTCTTTGTTCCTCAAGATCGATCAACAAGAAAAAGAATGAAGATGAAAGAGTATTTGAAAGTGATGATGTTTTTTGGTTATACAAATAATTATAACTAACTAATTAAAAGGATAGCTAAACAGTATATCATAAATCGAATTTCAATAATAAAAGGGAGGAAGTAACATTAATATAATGAAATGGTGAGTTGTCCAAATTAAGGTTTAAGAAGAGAGGTTAATTGGTGATTAAGAGGGAGGTGAGCACGTGGATGGGTGAAGGAGAATACGTGGCCAACATACAATGTCAAGAGAAGAGCACGTGCAGCCTAATGTGGTGGTGACCTTTGGGAATAACGAAAGGTCATTTTTAGTTGTACTATAAGCGGAGACCTGCAGCCGGGCGGAATAGCGGCTTCCCCAAGTAATGCTTCAAACCGAATTAATCTTATCTACTCAATTAATATATCCATATGCTTACGTGGAATAGAGTCACATATTCATTCATGAGCTTTAATTATATATGACCATCCTCTTTTACTTCCATTAAAACTCAACTTGATGTTTTTCCAACGTGCTATCAATTAGCTGGCTGCTCCAACTCTCCCACAAATACGACCCTACGATTAATAATGCAATTAACCAGATGTTTGGATATAAAAATTATGAAATTTGAAGAAAAATAGTTGTTTCGTATTTGAATTTCAAAAAATTTATGTTCAAAAGTTTTATAAAATAATCTTGTCGTGAATATATTCATGACCAAATAAGCACTTAATTATCAATCTTTTGTATTATTTTTTATAACTGTGGTGTGTGACCATCAATACTAGAATAAATAAGAAGAAATTATCTAGTATATTAGTATCTATTGTGATGATAATTTGAATTTGAGACTTATGAATTTCAATTTATTTCATAGATCACTATGTCACACCCTTGATTTTCATATTTTAATTGTAGCTAGGCTTAATATATTGATGAACTTTTAAACTTGTCAATATATTTCACTTTGATACTTTAAATATTGTTTATTGCAAATGATCACATAGTGAGGTATTTATACTAGACACTTTCAGTTTAAGATTTTTAAAAACTTTTGAAACAAGTTAACTATCAAAATATGTTTCCTTCTTTAACTATACAAATTAATTAACACCAAATAGTTGTAAAACTTCAAGCTCTTCTAATTGAGACCGGTGTATATAATTAAATAATTAAAAATGACATATTTTATATGATTAATTTACCTATTTAATAACATGTGCCTTAAGATGAAAGTATTTTATAAGAATACATTATTATGTGTTTAAATGCTCAGTTGAAACAAGCTGGGCATGCATGGAGATGGTATTATAGATTTTCAATGTGTATGTTTGAGCTGTAATAAAACAAACGGAAACAAGGACCACATTATATGTATATATATATATATATATATATATCCTCTGAGTTATTCTCCACATTTTATTGTCATGTTTCTTTGTGGGCAGTCATATATTGTCCACACATTGATTTCACCAGATTATTGGAAACGCACCACCAATAAATTAAATTTTAGTTTCATATGCTTTGGACAATCTTGATAAGATTATAAGAATGGAAATTTTTCTAGTAATTTATTGCAGGGTCACATGTCTCTTGCGCTTATAAATGGTCCCTCTAAATTCAATTGTTTTCATTGATTTTGCATAGATATATATCAATCAATGAAAGAAACCAAAGTCATAAGGTGATCAAATTTTGGAAGCTAGCTTGGTTCCACCTTGAAAATTTTGACCTAATCTTTCAAATAAATAATTCATTAAAAAAATAAAGAACTAGATATTTTTTTATAAAAAAACATACACGTTTGGAGCAAGCTTGTTCTCTTTAATTTACTTTTTCTTGTCCCACATATGGGAAGAATAGATTATATCAATATTAAAAGGAAATGTTCTTTGACAAAATTAGACATTGAAACAAAAAAGTTTTTCAATAATTACTATTTGTAGATCTAGTTTTCTTCCTTTATTTCTTAAACCAAATAGGTTTTACTTTCTTTTTTTTTGTCAAAAGGATTAATAAGTTACTATTTCACTCTTGTCACCCTGCCTTGGGCATTCCTTCCTTGCAGCTAAGATAACAATTTGGATGTATATAAACTCAAAACCCCGTTAATTATTTTTTACGGTGCTTTCTCTATCTCAATCAATTAAAGCCAATGTAACAATTTGTAGTTAATTATTTCCATTGTGTGTACAATTATGTCATGGCCCGACACCCTGAACATAACAAGAAGGATGTAGATCGTGTTGTTCATTGAATCTAGACGATTTTCTTAAGTTCATTGAATCTAGACGATTTTCTTAAGTTCATTGAATTTAGACATTATTACTACAACTATCATTTTATTTACAATTATTCACATTATTATTAACTTACTACTAGTTGTAGTCGACAAAGGAATCCAAAATCCTGCTTATAACTAAATGTCTCTTTATACTATAATAGTATCACAAATTGTGTGAGATTTTTTTTTATTGGACAAATTAGTAAATCCAAATCTTGTGGAGTATTTTTTTTTTTTGGTCCACAAACTTTAGATTCACCAATTCGTGACTTAAGAAAGAGTCTGAAAGCTACTTAATTTTTTTTTAGATAAGGGTAAGGGAAATGGAGAGGGCATTATAAGTTTCAATTGTCAACCAACTGAATAATTAAGATTCTCCCGAAAAAATAATATCAAATCAATGCAAAAAAAAATGGAAGTAAACAGTTTATTTTGTTTATTTATTTTGCACTGTTCGTATGACAAATATTGAGAGACCAAGTAGAGTTAACGAATAGTGTCTACATCTAATATTTGTCTTTTTTCTGAATCTGGACATGTAGCTATTTCTTTAGTAGGATAATATAGGAAAATGGAATTAACTATTGTTTAAAAATAATATGAGATATCTTCCTTTTCTTTATTTTAGATTATCTGAAATGACAAGTGCTCTGCTCAAATTAAATAATACATTAAAATAGAGTTGGTATAATCTTGAGAGGTCAATGTACTTGTTTTCGAACGATAACTGGTTAAACTTTGAGCCTCAACTTGGTACAATGTACCATCTCTAATCGGAGTCTCCCTATGTTTGGTATAAAATCAAATATTTTTCATCGAAAATGTTTTTAGAAAAATATGTGGATTTTTTACTTGTGTTAGTGTAAGTAAAAAAAGTATCCCAAAAATATTTATATATAATCTAGAGAAATAGTAGAAGAGGTGGGGGTAGGGGTTGGGTGTGTGCGGTGGTGAATATGAGGAGGATACAATCTATGTGGAATATCATTTGTGGAACTTGTTTTTCCTACTTCTATTAGGCAAGTCATTCTCACTATTTTTAAGTAACTTATCTTCCTATATTTTTAATTAACTGAATACGAAAAAATTGGACAATATTTCTTCTATGTACCGAACACACCATTTCTATTTAGTAGTTAAAATTTTAGAAAAATCGAAACTATTGTATTTAGTGGTGTAGTACTTATTAAACAAAGGTCGCGCTACAAAGCTGTTAGCAAGCTAAGAAATAAGAACTTGGAGTAGATGTAGAAGCAAATAAGGAATAACATACAACTGTATCTACGTTATATCTGTTAACATTGTAAAAAAGTTTTTGACATTGTCATTGCAATTTAATTAATTATAACTAATTAGCACAAGCCCAGAGTGTTTACACCAAACTATGTAAATTTATGATTTTATGATGTGAAAATAAGTATTAATTAACCATGAGTACTAAGAATTTCTATACAAACACATAACTGGGCTGGTAAGTTTTTATTGATTATTTCACATTACCATATTAAGTTCATCTTGAAAAGTTATGTTGTGTTGGGCAGACTTTACGTTATATGTTTAAAAATTCTATACTTAATTTACCCAACGAAAAAGGACCAAAAACATCCCTAACCTATTGAATTTGGCAAAAAAAAATACTCTCCTTCCACTTATTGACCGTCAACTTTTTATTATATTTTTGGGCTTGAAAATGCCACTTGGGATATCCATGCAACCATCAAATAGGTACTTGCCATGTGATAGGGTCCATAAGAAACATGCAGGAGGACAAGGTTCCACTGTTTTCCAGTGTCATAACCTCGTGAAGAACAGGATACCCTGCCAACCATGTTATCATCAAAATGCCAGTCTTTCTGCTAAAATCCACTTTGTATGGACAGGAACCAAAGCAAGCAACAAATACACGGATAAGCAGATATGGCCAAAATGTGAAACAAAACAAGATAGATGTACTTGTGCATAGTTTCACATTCTTACCTTGCAGCAGTGTAGTAGATGATGCTCAGCAAATGTATGCAAAGAGTCACAGCTTGTTTTTTATTTGATCAATTGAACTAATCAGTCAAACTGATATACAACAACACTAACATTTACTCGGAAAACTGATTGTTACAAGGGTAGGCCAAGCCACATACATAACAGGCAAATTATGACAATCTATACAACACTCAGGAATCAAGATTTGTCATACAATATTATAACAGTAGAGCTAAGTAGGGACGTAAATCATAACAATTTATACAAAACTAGATTTATAACACATTTATATAAAACAGTTGCCATCTTACAGCATGGGATCTGCGTTGTTTTCTGCTTCTTGAATGTCTTCATCTCCCTCATTTTCTCCTTCAAGCCATTGTTCCAACTCATCAACTTCATCATAGTCATGCATATAGAGATCATCTGAATTATCCCATTGGCCAGTCATCCCCAGCTCCTCCCCATGAAAAACTATATGCAGAAATGGTCTATTCCTGGATAAAGCGTCCAGCACATCCCTGCTGACACTACTAGATACTCCTAACCATCTCAATCTCGGGAAATAAGGTTTCTTTAACCATTGGAATGAAAGCTGAGTTATACCTCCACAATTATAGAGATCCAACAGCCGTAAACTGCTTCCGTACCATCCTTCTTCATCAACCTTCATTGATGCTAACACCATAATTGAAGTATCACTTATCAACGGACATTGACGCATTCTAAGCTCCAGTAGTGGAATACGTCTTTTTGCAAGCAAAAGTATACCAGCATCAGATAGGTTTGGAATGTTTGACAAGTCCAATTCTCTCAATTCACAATTAGAAGATTCATCAAAGAGAAAGGAAATACAATTGTCAGTTAGTCTCTTGCACCCTCGTATGGACAATGATACCAGCGAACGCATTGCTCCTTTTGATAAATGGGACAATCCCATATCACTAATATCAGAACCATCAATCAGTAAAGCCTTCAATTCAGAAAGGTTGCTTATGGTTCGAAGGGCATCATCTCCAATATTCCTACAGTCCCTCAAGTCAAGCACACTAAGATTTCCATTGGAAACCAGTCGTGCAACGCCATGGTTCGTCAAAAGATTACACCATCTTAAACTGACATGTGTCAAAGTAAGTGAAGTTGCAGCAATGTCATGAAATACAAGATCAGTCAAGTGGGGTCCATGATAGATCCTCAGCTTGAAAATTTTTGAACATGAATGCAAAATTGTTCTAAAACCTGTGTCTGTAACCTGACAAAAACCACCAAGACAAATACTTTCCATGTCAGAGCATCTATCAGCCATAAGAAGAATACCAAGATCATTAACTCGCTTGAAGTAAGCTGGGAAAATCTCTTGACTTCTCACCAACGACAAATGTTTCAATCTCCCGTGCAGATTAATTTGTTGTATACCTGCATTGGTAAGATCAAACGCCAATCTTGGTTCCATAATTGGCGAGTCTCGAAGGTCCAAATGTGTCAAACAGTTGATATTATTAGTTATTGTGCTGATCATGGTGTCAGTAATATAATCCACTGAAAGACACAACTTCTGTATTCCTGGTAATATGGATGGCCGAATATGCTCAATTGACTGATATGGTGCCACAGGCGGGCTAAGCAATTCTGTCACCATTACCGAAGAAATGTAGCCCATTTCAAGAGATACCAGTGTTGTAGGGGCAATAGACCAAACACGGGCAAAATTGTGCCGCAAAAACATTGAGACATCAAACATCAGGATCAGTGTCTACAAAGCAAAAGAACACAGTTAGCACAAACTGTATCATTAGAAGCATAACAGGAACTGCAATAAACTCAGACCCTCCTAAATCTACCATCCTAGTTGCAAGAAGAGGTGGATAATAAACAAAGACCAGTTGATGAAAATAAAGGATGGTTCAGGGAACTTTTGCCATTTGCTTTCTGTGTGAGTACTTTCAAGTATCAGTTTTTTCATTTGTTGTTTGAACTTGTAAATTTGCGGAAAACTATTTAGAAACAGAAGGAATGTATGCACCATTCCCACTCAAATCTCTACGAATAAGCCAATGGTCAAAACTGCATGCGACATCCATATAAACCAAAAATTAGAACACAAATTTTGATTAGCTAACAGGAAAATGGATCCGAAACAAAAAAGAGTTGTGATGAAGGAAGTAAGGACCATATCAGATCAACTTATGAATCAACAGAAGGGGAAATCACAGGCTTAAGTGAAGTACAACATAGAGATTTCGATGGTGATAGTAGGCTGGAGGTTCAAAGAGAGAGGGACCAAATCCTTGATAAAATAATTGGCAACGAAATGGATATGGAGTTTTTTTTTTTTGAGATAAACGAAATGGATATGGAGTTGCTCTTCAGTTTCAGAGAAATCTGAGGTTAAACAGATTTATGAAGGAATCTCATTACTCCTAAGTGTAAGCCCGAGATTCATCAAAATCAGCGGTAATCCTAGAAAACAACCTAGGTATTATTTCCAATATGAGTCATTTTGAAGCCTATGTTATCTAAAAGATCTAGCAAAATTATCAATCAGAAAGCTGCCAATAACTTCACCATTTGCCTGTTTATGGAGGAACAGAAAACAAAAGATCCATACTACTCTACATAAACTTGCCAGTTTATGTGTCCGTCCCTCCCTCAAGGTTTTGGCAAGTGGGAGAGTTAAAACGCCAAAAACCAAAATAATGTAACTGCATTTAATTTGTGGTGCCTAAGAAGATCAAAGCTAGTATTTGTGACAGTTTGTATGCGTCTCGACTAATTCCACAGGGTATGTGCTAACTCCCGCAGAGGTGCTGAGCAATTCTGTCCACCAAGGCTGTCTAGGCAGAGACAGATTGGAAGAAATCACCAAGCATTTTTGCCTCCACTGTGATTTGAACTTGAAATCTCATGATTCTCAACCTACTTCAGTAACCACCGGGCTACATCCTTGGGTGAAAAAATTGTAGTTATATGAGATACTTATTTCCCTAAATACAGTGGAACAATGGGTGATGAAAGAGGAGAGTGGAACAAAATAATAACTCCTTACTAATAATACAATGACCTAGTTGACCTTTCCAATGTATCCACAGTGGAGTTACAGAGTTATTTTGCAAAAGGTTAAAAATGAGGCAGCCTTCACAAAGTCCCACCATATCTACCACTCTTTATTTTTTTTGTCAGGATCTACCACTCTTTATTAAAAAGCAGATGTAGGAGAGCAAGCTAGATCTATAATTGATAATTTTTTTGTTCCATTTTAACGACACTTCGTTTTTGTCAAATTCTTGATGATGAAACAAAGCATTCAAATACCAAACTTAAGCATGGTTGGATGTTAATAAGGTATTAAACATAGTTGAGAATAATATCAAATTATGTTAAGAGATGTAACACACTATGAACTTGTCTATCAAGTATGACGATAGAAACTTCTTCAAATACCAACTTTTCATCAACCTCCACTACTTGGGGTGGAATCACATGTGAAGGGTTGTGCACATACTGTGAGAGGAGGATGATGAAGCGGACATGCAAAGACGAAAGTCTGCAAATATGGATCTAACTCCACCAACTTAAAATAGGAATCAGAGACTGTCAGACATTCAATATTTAAAAACTCTTTGATTTTGACATTTTCTATTCTATGACGCTTAATGTGGAAATGTTCAGGCAAAGATGTGGACCACCTTCTCCTAAATTGTCAAGTGGAACTAGTTTACAGTGCGATTTTGAGATGGTTTGAGCTGCAATGGATTATGTCGGGCACAGGGGAGAAGGCACTCTCCAGTTGGACATTTAGAAGAAGGAAGGCCTGAGCATGTGGGTGATGTTAAGAGTCTTACAATGGTGGAAGAATTGGTTGTAAGTCTGCTTACCTGGTCTAGAACAATCTTCACCTCATGAGCTAACTTTTGGGTTGAGTTAGACTCGAGATTCAATGCTCAATTAAACATTGTCAATATAAATGAAGAAAGTAGTCCAAATGTATTCATAAACAAAAAGTGTAGAGGACTAGCATTGTCATGTGATAATTTATTTGCTTAACTTGATATGCTACTTCCTCCAAATTACAAGCATACACATTGTCTGATTTTCATCTGAACAAATTTGGCAATAAGCCAATAGCTTCATTTAAGAAAACTAGAGGAGCGAATCGGGATTAGATACCCAGTAGTCCTAGCCGTTAAAAATTGCTAGACCCATCTATTAAATTTATTAAAAAGATTATGATCTATTCCCCTTATCCCTCAAGAAATAAGTTAGGCGGAAGTTCGAAATGCTTCAGTCTTTCTTAAAACCTGAAGAAAGAAAGAAAAAGCAAAAGAAATCTCAAAATTCCAATAGTGAAACGCTGGACTGATTCCCCACCCCCTAACCTTTTCTGATCTAGCAAATTACTATTATGAGTTTGGATAAGGTATGTGCACCATTGGTTACTATTAGCACAAACAATGTGAAGTGAGAGAACTAAAACAGAGAAACTCATCCAGAATCCACCCTGGCATAAAGGCTGTGATAGAAACCGTGAAAGGGAAGAACCTTGGCAAAATGGAATATTTTCTTTAGGACGGTTACACCATTGATATTTCCCATCTAAGTTAGAGTTACAGTAGTACCACTTTAAATGCTATGCTTGGGTTCAATTTTTTCATTTGTTTGATAGGCTGTTCAAACAATATCTTAGCTAATGTTTTTCAATTTAAAAAAAATGTTGATTAACCCATTTCTTTGTATTGTGAGGTAATGGCTTAGCCTATTTATTATCCTAATAACTTAAATTTTTACTATGCCACACTTTCAAGAAGCCTTACTTCCAGCTGAGTGCATCCGCCAAATAAGACCTCTAGATCAGATACATCAATTGATCTGCCTCTCTTCTCCGCCAAAGAGCTCAAATAAAGAAACCTGAGGAGAAAAATTAAAGATAACAAACAAGCTAATGACCAACTGAACAAATCATCAAATGAGTTTTCTGTTTTTCTTTTTTTTTTTCATGATTCATTATACAAGCTTAAACTAGACTCCATTTCATTCCACAATAAAGAGAAACCAAAAAAAGTTTCATACATGGATTTAGAAAGAGAAAATAAGAAAAGCTTTAGAGAGAAATAACCTGAGGTCTTTACAGTACTGGCCGACCTGAGACAGAAGCCTTCCACTGAAATCAGCGCAGTTATGAAGGCAAAGCTCTTGTAAAGTCGGCTGAAGAAGACAATCAAGGGATGAATCATCAAGTCGCATGCAATCTACCTTCAAGCTACGAAGGTAAGGATTGGGAGGTAGCAACGGCCTTATATATTCAGCAGGCGGAGCAATATCCTGATAAGAACACGCTAACTTAGAAGAGTCGTATGTAGGAGGGGGTCACCAGGTTCACGTGAACCCATGTTCCCCTCCTAAAATCATATATAATAGTGTTATATTTATAATTTTGCGTTAAATATAGATGTGTGAACGCACACTCGAAGTATCATGTAATGTGACAATGATTGGGTGCACCTCTTAGTGAGGTTAGAAATTTGAATTTTATATCTATCTTGTTTTATTTTTCTTTCTAAAATTGGATAACACCTCTCTAAGTGACTATTGATAGCACTTTTGGCATTTTAATTAATTAAGCATTTCGATTTTGGACCTATGATTTTAAATTTTAACTGTTTTCAATGATAACAACTTAAATCTTAAACCGATTAGATCCACATTTTCATAATAGTGCACCCATCATCCCGAAATCTTGGATAAGCCTTTGAAATAAACTTAGAGAACAAGAATTGATGATAAGTCATGTAGAAGAACATTAGAAATAGACTTACGAGGAGATGAAAACTAGGAATGAAGCAAAGCATGTGTGAGGCACATGAATGGAAGGCCTTGCAAGTGCATGCCAGGGAACGAATGGAAGCTATGTCCAGCTTCGTCATCACAGTGGCCAATAGTGCTGATGGAAGAAGGTCCAGGCTCATCTGCTGGTGTGCACCAGAACCTGAAGACTTAGCCATTTTTCCTCTTTGCCAGACTGGACTCCGAGAAGGCAACAAATTGAGTTAATGTGCAGATGAGATGTAACTTGTGGATAAGGGCTCGAAACTTGACAATGTCAGTTGCTCCAATCACTTTGTTACTGGCAATGGAAAGAGGATGTCAGATACTCTTTCTCAGGACAAACAAAGCAACATTAGTTGTGTTTCTCTTCTGTTTAGTTACTAGAAAAAATGCACAAAATCTACAGAGAAATAATTATATATACTGTAACCTCCATTTATGAGAAGCTCCTATCAAATTTCAAAAGACCCAAAAATGGCTCAATCCCCAAAGGAAGAAGAGTCCATTTCTCACTCTTAGCGTACACACAAAATAAGTTTAGCTTTTCTGATAAATAGAAAATTACCCTAACTTCACGAGTCGGGAAGCAGAACAAACACACCTGATATTTAAAGTCAACCAAACAGGATTATTTCAGTTTAGTGATTTCACAACCAAATTAGCTAATAAGATGTTAACATGCAGATTCTAATGCTAAATTTACAACAAGATCCACTGACTAATCTCTAACACACACATAGTTTCCAATAAACCATCGCAAGTTAAGAATCTGAAGTTATTCAGTTGGAAATACACATAGAATTTACAATCTGGTGGGAGAAATAAAGCACGAAAGAGGCAGAGAAGGAAAAAATATAAATTTTACCAGATAACTTCGCCGGAGAAGATAGATAGAGAAAATTGTCACCGAATTGTGGAGTTTGAGGCGCCGGTGGAGTCGGAGATGAGTGAGGCGATTGATGCTATTTAACCTCTCTTTGATGCAAATGGACACATCTTCTTAACTTGCGACAAGTGACAACCTTAATAAGTAGTAAATATTTTTTCGATCCTATAGATATACAAGAAATTACAATTTATAGTTTTTTTTTTAAATTTTTTAATATATAAATTTTTATTTAAAATATCGAATTCATGTAATCTAATTTAACTTTGAAAATTAGTCATATTACAATTTATAGTATTTTTCTTATAATTTTTGAATATCTAAATTTTTTATTTAAAATATCGAATTCATGTAATCTAATTTAACTTTGAAAATTAGTCATATTGACTTTCGAACCGCAACATGACAAATAAAAGTGGATGGATGGAGTAACTAATGTACTTTACTTTTTATTAATTTTTAAATTTGCCTATTTATATATTTTTAATTCTAGAATATAATACTTTGATATTTTTCAATCAATTACATATAAATAACTATTAATCAATATTAAAAACAAAATATACTATTAAATTTTGAGAGGATGGTTTTATAATGTATTGAATAAATTTTGCAAATACTCAATATCCTTCGTTACTGAGAGTAAAATGCATGTTTAAGGTTTACATATACATTGTATTTTTTGTTTCATTAGTAAATGACGCAAAAAATCCTTATTGTACTCCTTTTGACAGTTTTGTTAAGTGTTTTGATTAATTATCAATTTATCATAATAGTATCTCTCTCGTTTTGGTTACGATATTTTGGATTTAAATTTTAAAATGGAAAAATCCCAAATAAAAAATGTTTCTTCTTCAATGGAGATGTAAAATGCAACTCTAAATCAATAAGTCTCAAATATCAAATGGTTAACAAGCTGAAAATTATTTCAAATAATTACATTAGACAAGCAATAAAATAGAGCACACAATAACATTTAAAAACAATAACAAACTTAATATAATCTCATATATAATGCACACAACAATATTCAAAACAAATTACCCCACATTAATCCAAACAATGGTCCCAAACTAAATCCAAATACTCACAATAAAACAATAAAAACAGAAGAAACAAATCCTAAATAACAATAGTGTTATTAAGGACACACAATAAATTTAGTGGGTCGATTTTATTCTTTCATCTTTAAGTTGATTTATAACAGTGTCTATTGTTCATATTTTATTGAATACAAATATAATAGTAATAATTTAATTTGTGAAATGATTTTTAAATTTACTTTGCTTGATATTTTTAATTATATTTAAATCATCATGTTAATATTATATCAATATTTAATTTATATTTTATTCATCTATATATAATATTAATTGAAAATTTGACTATGTTATCTTAATATTAAAAGTGCATTGATATTTATCATTTTTAGTAATTTGACTCTCAAAAGTTTTTTTTTTTTATAAAATTAGTCAAACACTTTGTTTATCCAAAGCACTTTTCAAATGAATTGACCAAATACAATTTTTTTTCAAAAGTACTCTTTTGAAAAGCTATTTTAAAACAGTGTTCTTAAAAATAAACAATTTTTAGCGATATTATCAAACAACTCTTAGTCATAATAGATAGGATTTATAAAATAATGTGTGAGAAAATTAAAAGTGTGAATGATGCAATAGTGAGGTAGAAAAGCCATAAGAAGTTATTTCTATCGAATACATAGTGATCTTTAAAGTTTTGGAAAAATCAAAATAATTACTTCTCTTCTGATATTTAGAATGGACAATTACTTTAAAATAATTATTTTTAATATGCATGATAACTATTGTAAGTTTTAAATTTAATTTTGTAGTTATCGAAATTTTTGTCAACATAAATGAGTATTTTTAAAATTAATTTACATCTACAGAAAACGAGCTATCACATTGAACATGGTTGATCATAGTTAGATTAGTAAATAAATTTAAACGGATACTATTTAAAGAACAGTGGGAAATATCACAAATGTGTAGTTATAGTTTTAAAAATTCCATAACCAATCAACAATGAAAAGAAAAAATATTAAATAAAATATTTATGAGTTCTTGATTGTCGGGAATAATGCGACATTTTTTTATTTTTTTTAAAAAAACCATTTTTGGTCCACAGCTGGACCTATTTTATTAACTAAAAAACAGAGGAAACTAATTCCTTACAGTTTAGGCCCAAATGGTCCTTCCAAAAACAAATCAAGGAATCAACGTTTCCTAATTTAGACATTGTTCAAAGAAGTGTTCCAGACTTTCTCAAGCTTGCTATCATACGAGAAGCTGAAGCTCCGCTTGGAATTTCCAACTCCATCCATGGTTGTGGGCGCCATCTTTCCAAGGTAAGTTTCTACTCTTTCTTTCCTTCATCCTGATCTCCTCCGATCTGACTTGCCTTGACTTCAGGTGGGCTGAGTTCATCCTTGATGAGTTGAAGATCCATCTTCGTAAGTTCACCCTCCCTCTATTTTCCTTCCCTTCCCTTCTATTTATCATTGTAACCAATCGTCTACCGTGCCGATGTAGATCTTCGTGTTCTTCAATGTTGACGTTTGGTTCGGGCTGCTGTGTTGGGAGGCTCCATCTTCTTTTTGGTGTAACTTGCTGGTAACTAGGACCACTAGCTAAGTTACATATTTTCGTTGTCCTCTCTTTGGCAATAATGCTTGTGCTGTTAAATTTGAGCTTGTGTAATATGAGACTTGTTTTATGTTTATCACTGTTGCGTGCCTGTTTTTTCCTCTTCTGCTGTTATTTCTGATCTGTATCATTGTATATTTATTTTCCTCGTCCTAATTCTGAGGTTAAGAATTTGTGCTTTGTCAATGTTTATGCATTTCCTTATATTTGTTGGTAACTTGTTAAAGCTGTGATACTCCTTCTTCTCTTGTGAGTCTATGACTTCATTCGCCAAAGCATCTACAACTGTGTTACCTTCCCTGAATGTATGAATTACTTGTCCTTGCACTGAATGGAGTTTGACCCTTATATCTTCTATTAGCTCTATTAGTTCCCATGAGAACTTCCATTCATTACCTTTTAATCATTTTCTTGAGTGCTAAAGAATCTGTTTCGATCGTCATTTCTTTTAGACTATAAGACTGACAGAATTCCAAAACTCCCTTAATTGCCAATGATTCTGCTTCTGTATTGGAGGTCACTCCTCTAGCAGCTGCATAAATCAGGTCCCACCTCTCATCCCTTGCACAGAAAGCCAACTAGCTCTTCGCCGGATTACCCCTACACACACCCCATCAGTGTTGCATTATACCTTGCCTCTGTCGGGAAACTTCCAAGTAACACTATAATAATGTAATCTTGGTTTGTACTCCTTCAAAATTGTAGCAATGTGAGGCCAACTTTCATTGCCTATTTTAATCCAAGGGGTACAAAGTTTTGACATGCTTCCTAATCATTTCCTGCACTTGGTATATCATGTGACTGAAAGTCACCTTTCCTCCATGTTTAATCACATTCCTCCTCTTCCATAGAGTCCACATTATGATTGTTGGAATGGTTGTTTGCATGCTCCACCAAGTATTTATGAGGTGTTTCAAAGTCATTTCTTCTATGTCAATTCCTGCACAAATAGCAAATTGCCTCCATAGCTATGGGTGCTGTTAGAAATAAATGTGTCATGGTTTCTTTTGTCTTTTTCTCACAACACCACCATCTGGACACAATATTGATCTTCATTCTCTTCAGACTGTCATCCGTGGCTATCCTCCTCCCTCTTTTCCTGCTTCTGCCTCACCAGATCCCAGGTTGATTTTAATAATGCGACATTTTTCACCAATACTTCTAGATTTTCTTCTTGGGTGTTATTATCATCAATCAAGTGCTCTTTTTTGAGATTTATTTAATTTTACAATTTTTTTCATTTTCTTTTTTTTGTAAGAACGAAATCATATTTTCTAGTTGACATATTAAATTAATGAAATTTTAATAATAACTAAAACAATATACTTATAAACTAAGAACATCAACTATTAAGTCGTAATTTTACTATCTTTAGAAAAATTACTCTTTGAAATGTTCGAAATATAAAAAACAATTTGAGAAAAATACTTAGAAAAAGAGTTGCTACTAGATTTTTAAAGAAATTAAAAAAACTTAATTTAAAAGACTCTAACAAATTTAAGTCTTCAAAATTTTAGAGAAAAAGGGTACAAGGAGACATTTACGGTTAAAAAAGATTTTTAAGCATTAGAATTGTCCACTAACACGCAGTTCTCCTACAACTTGACTAAAATATTTTTTGACCAACTCTTTGTGAAAAG